TTGCAGCACAGATAACAACATAAATCTCTATTAATGTAGAAGGTGCATGTGGGCCACCCATCTCACTGGTGAATTTTATTCTGACTATACTTAGAAATCTCCTAAAAAGAAATTATATTTTTATGTAATTAAAATAAAGTTGCAAATTGCACACACACACAGGCATATAAAATTTCATTAGCAATTTTAACTTTTGCCTTTTTAAACCTTTTTAGTACTTCATTTTGCAATATTAACATTCTCTTTTTTATATCTGAATATAAATTATTTCTGCCTGAAGGCAAACCAATTGGGGAAATTCTGCTTAAATGTGCATATTTCCTCAGCATAGATACTCATGAATTTATGCCGAGTTTCTCTCAATTATTTATACATTACAGTTTTCAATTAAAAAACACTTGCCATAAACAATTCAAAATACAAAATCAATAATTTCTTAGTAAGAATGGAATCTTAGCAAGAATTTATTGACTAAGAACAATAAAATAAACAGTTTGGATTTTTTATGTGCCAAAACCAAAAGATGTCATGAACCATCTTTAAGTTGTTGTTCAGCAAATATATCCAGTAATTAACAGTTATGCTTCATAACTCAAAGCTATCCTGTGCAACCTGTTTCAGGTGTACCTGCTTTAGCAGGGCAATTGGACTAGGTGATCTTCAGAGGCTCCTTCCAATAAAGCCATTCTGTGAAATTCCCCTTAAACACAATCAGAATCTTTTCCATCAATTTCCACAATGCCTTGATAAAAACTTAAATTTCAATACAATGGCAAAGTAATAGGGAAAATCCTACAACACAGTCTCAACTGAGATTGTTAAAATCTGCAAGAATTCTGTAATGGTTTTTTCCCCAACAAATTAATTAAACTTATAAAGTCCCTCCTGTTCAGTAGGTCTTTCAACTGGAAAAGCTTCTGTCAAATTCCAACATATGAAATAGACTGTATTTTTACCATGATTGCAGATAAAACCATTACACCTTTTCAAATAAATCAAATGAAATTTATTAATATTTTTTGGGGTAGGTGCAAAGTTATCAACTCTGGCATAACATGACTCTGAAAAGTAATCAGACCTTAACATTACTTATAATCCAGGCAGAGTTGTATTAGGACTGAACACTTATAAACCATTAATTTGCAGAATATGGCAAATTTTTGAAATGCCTAAGCTGTTTTAGAAAGGAATAAATTAATTCCTCATCAAGGTCTCTTAAGACTCACAATCTAAAAAAACACAAACAGATGGACAAAACTGGGTTTCTGAATTAGCTGTATGTTGTGGGAATCAGCTCTGAGATTCCCAACATTGCTATTTGCTTTGTACTTGCTCCTTTTCTCTCACCAGTTCTGCCTGCCGTTAATCTTTTCATCCAGTAAAGATTTCAGATAAAGTATTACTTCCACTTTTGTTAATCCTTATGTGCCAGCAGAATATAAATCTGATGACCAATTCAAAGTCACCACTGCCTTGAGACTAATGGCATCATTTGCACACATCTTACAGCTCTCATAGCAGGGGAGATCCAGGTTCTGACATGGCACTGATATACATTTGTAATTAATTTTGAAAGTTTTATTCACTGGACTCTACTGTGATACTTACAGGCTTTTTCAAACAGTTATTTAAATGTATCCAGAAATGTTCCCAAGCACCGCAACTGACAGGTACCTTAATTTCAGATGTCTGGTTGTGCTGTTTCTGAATAATATAGAAATTTATCTGGTTTTGTTGAAAGATGTTTGAAGCAAAGAGCTCCTACAAGTACAAATTCCCTGTTTTCCCCCAGACTGTTCTTTTTACTGATATAATGTATCTTAAACTTTGGGATGCATATATTTAAGGTGTATATCACTTCATGCATGATAGGTGGTAAGCATTTGGCAGAAAACAGAAAGCACTCAAATATTGCAATGATGTAAAAACCTACAGAAAGCAATACTAGATGTTTTCAGAGCACTCCAACTGTTTCTTCTGCAAGATACAACAGTGTAAACCTCAAGTTCACAATTAACTTCAGCAGAAAGCACACTAATATAATCTATCATAAACTATGATTATAATCTTACTCTCTGATAAGGAGAACATTGCAAACATTTATAATGACTGATATTACTTCTGGAAACACTTTGAAAACACAGGAAGAAAAGCAGCTTTTTAAAACTCCCATTTCTTACAAAAGATTCTATCATGAAGCCTGTGCTTACTTAATTCTGGATTTAAAGTGAGAAAAACATGTTACATCATTGCGTAGCACAGCTAATTGAACAGTATCAACATCTGAACAGTCCTACAATAATCAATAAATGCTTCAGACCTTATTTTACAGGTAGAGTATTTTAGGGAAGAGGTTAAAAATCTCATTCTGTGCAGAAATGCCATTAAAATCATGTTTGCTCCAAGCAGAACATTCCATTTGTGTCTGTAGCAGGCTACTCACTTATCATTGTTTTCTTTCCCTTACTGGCAGCTACCAGTGGCCTGCATCCAAATATCATGACTGAAGTCTACACCACCGACAACTCAAATATTTAGCTTTGAAGATTAATGAACATCAGGTTATATCCAGCCTTTAGGACAGAGACCAGGCTGAAAGTCAAAGAACTTTAAATTTGATTACACAAAAATTACCCAGCAAATTTATTGATTTTCTTCCAAGGCAAACAACAATCTTTACAAGTCTGTGTTTAACTTTATACTCCCAAGCAATCAGTCCTAAGCATATATAGACAGCTTCCTTTCCCAAGTAATGAAAAATACACTACTGGATGAGAGAACTGAAAATAACTGGGATCAGGTGTTTACATTTATTCCTGTAGATACACCCCCAGAGAAGTGGGAACCTGACTAATTTGGTTCACAAATTGATTACCCAATTATGAATAACTGAACAAAAAGAATATAAAATAGCAGAATCAAAATTTTACTTATAACACTATTATAACTGATGCAATATTCTACAATGGCCCCCCAAAATCTCTTCTTATGTTTTTTGCCAGTCAGAACTTTCCCTTGAATCAATTTTTCACCCTTGGAAATACACAGTGCATGGAATATATCTGCTGTCTTTTTTACTCTGTGGTCCCTCAAAGCAAGTCCTGTGCTTACTCTCTCAGCTTCTTTATTTTTTTTTTTACCTGTCTCTCTCTCTTTCCGGAAAGAAAATACTTGCAACAGAAAGAGCCCACAGATTAAGTGGATCTTTACCCTGGGCAGTAAAAATCCACTTTGCTTTATCTCTCTTTACTAACGTTAATAAGAGGCTTTTCTTTTTAAAGTTTCTAATGTTCTTCAGCAGGAAAAGAAAGTTTCTGCTCCTCTGATCATCTCAGGCTATTTCATAACTTTACTTATGTGCTTTTGTAATGGGCCTCAAGATATTTAAGCATTCAACAATTTTTGCTTAAGACATCATAAAAGTAGAAAACATTAAATTTTTGTTTTAGGCAGTGCTTGGGTAACAGCAGTGAGTCACATTCTGTAACAGCCTTTGAAGTTACAAGTAGATGTAAACATTTGCTTGTCTGCACCTTCTTAAAATTTTAATTTTTAGTAACTAAAAGACCAAGTGAAAAGGTTACAAAAAAATTAAAAACCATCAATTTTAATGTAATTTTATTCTACTGAGTAAGAGATAGATAACCTACCTAAGCATTTTTCATTCAAAATGAAAATGACTCGGTTGTGACTGGCTGGGCTTTAAGCAACTGCTATCTTATCAGCTGGGAAACTGAATGATACCATGTGTAAGGAAAGTAATCTTTCCACTTTATTAATTATTGGTATGTGCTCAAATTTTAAAACTGAATTCAGGTCTGGATTCTTTAAAACTGAATCTGCAGGCAAGAAAGATAAGGCAACAGTTCACAGGAAAACAGTGTGAATGACCATCAGCCTAGAAAGATGTGAGGAAATACAAAAAAAGGTGTCATGTCACCTGTAAGAAAACAAGAGGTAAATTGGACAACATCCTTTTAATTTAAAAAAATAAAAAAAAAAAAAGGAGGAAGACTTTTTGTCTTACATGCAGGCTTTTGCTGGAAAATTGGGCATTTCAAAACACACACCTTCTGTCAGACATTTAGTGGAATTAGACTATTTCCACAAAGTATTTCAACTTCTGTCAGTCCTCTGTTTTTTTTTTTGTTTTCAGAGAAGTCACTTTATACGAGAAATCAGCCACAAGTTGAGTTCAGAGCTGGAATTGTTTCAACCCACAGTCAAATTTAGAAACAGAATCATAGTGGCTACACAAATCATATATTTTAAGCAATAGTTAGGCATGCAGTACACTTACAAATTAGAACTGGAAGACAGGCTTTATTCGATTACTTGAGGCTCACTTATTGCATGTCTTTCCACACCATAAAAGGATTTTATGCAGAGGAAAACACCATTTTTATACTCAGACTGCTGTCCACACACAAACCCCTCTGCCATGAAAGGTAATATATGCTTTTAAATACAGAAACAAGGTTCACCTTGGTATAAGAAAGCAGTATTGTTTACAGTGAGAACAACTGTTCACTGCAACAGACTCCCCAGGGATGTGGTAGAGTCCCCATCACTGGAGGTTTTTCAGATGCAATTGACAGGGTGCTAAAATAAACTCACTTACCCTCCCCTTCCCATGAAAGTTTGGATCAGATGAGCTGTCAAGGTCCCTTAGAGCTTCAGCTGTTCTGTGATTCTAGTTACTTCTATTAATGTCTTCTAATTTCAGAGACCTGCAGCTTAAGGATGTGGATGGAGAAATGGAGCTTGTCTGATGCAAACACCAATGTGGCAGTCATGTACGAACAAAGAGGGTGTCACTTGCAGTCAAGAAAACCAGAATGTCATTTTAAAAAGAACAAAAATACAGACTGTTCATCTAAGTGTAAGTTGGAAGCAGGATTATACATTACAGAACTACATGTCCACAGCTCTTTTAATTCAGCCCAGTTAGAGTAACTACAGATGCCATCCAAAGCAGCTTTGTGATGTCAGTCCCTTACCTTCTTCCTCTTCAATGAGGCCCATGTTCACACATGCTTGTGCCTTTCTCTTCCCACCATCAATTTCTACTAACTGAGCCGTGTTATAGCTTTGCTCATAAAAGTAGTGACTTAACCATTTGTCCTCAGGTTCATTGAAAAAGCAGGCCAAGCTAAGCTGGTTATCATAGACCTTCTCATAGTGCCCTTTAAAAACAAAAATCACAATAAAAACATTATATTATCATCAGTGTTCAGAAATTTTGCATGTTATATATAACAATAACATGAATAATCATAATGAAATTTAAGAGCTATTTATATTTCCATCATTCAAATGCCATCAAGTTCTGCTACGTGTTCATTCGGAGAAATATAAGTGGAAAATTATAACCTTACAAGTCAGGCACAATTAAAAACATATTTTTGTTCTCATTTCTGTGTGCAAAACCAAAATTCTGTTCAATAAAACACACAGAACCTGGATAAAACACTGGCTAGTCAAAAGAAAAGTCAGAATGAGACTGGGGAAGCATTTATCTGAGCCTCTGGGCCCTGAAAAGGACTAAGAACTTTCCGAACCTTGGACCTCAAAGGTAGCAACTGTGTTGATGGAGATAAAGAACCAAAAAGAACACTGCAAACACAATCTATTAATTCATATAATTTTAAATGTTCAAAGTATGATTTACAAGAGAGGCTCTGAGTTTTCACATATATCCCATGTTTAGCACCTTAGCACTCTTAGAAATGGAGGACAAATTGAAATTGCACCCATTTCCCTAGGACCCGCCCTCCATCCCCTGCACCCCCCAGTTCACCAAGGAATTGTTCTCAGAACAAATGTGGGAAGCAGGGGAGATTCGACTGCAAGTCCTAAATCTAAGTAGCAATACAAAATTATCCACAAATATATTATCCACAATTTAAAGTCACAGAATATTTCCCTTGGTCACAAGCTTATTTCCCTTGGAAAAGCACCTTTAAAAAAAAAAAAATCCACAAGGTATCATCCTTGAATTATTTCAAAACTTTACTAATTTGGAGTAGAAATCTAAAACATTCCTGACAAATCTTATCATACTGTTCCTCCCTAAAGTGAATTTGAAAGGTCTGTTTCTTATATGATACTGAAAAATTTGAGATAATAAAGTACAGTATGAAGCTATATGTTTCATGGCCAATAGAAATTAATTTTCTGTGCAAACTCTACTCATGCCAGAAGTGAAATTGAATAATTAGCTAAAACTCCATTGCAATTTTGGTGGGATACTTAGTGTGTTTGTGGCTGTTAAGGAATTTCCATGTATTTGAGTTAAGAAGGAGTTAAGAACAGGAGTTACAACTGCTTGGTTAAGCTGGATGTGTGAACAGAACTGCTTTGGTTTTGGGAGTTCTGCAATTGGTAAGCTTTGCTCAAAAAGGAGAGAAAAGGGAGAAAAGAAAAACCCCTCTTAATTTTGGATATGGAGCGCCACACGAAAATCAACTGGGAAAAAATAAATCTTTTCAGCATAGGCAAGATCTCAAAGTTCAGATCTTTCCTAAGTGTTTTGAAACTGTGATAACCATATTAAAACACTTTAATCAAAAGATGCAGTTAAATTCTCTTCTGTTACCTACATGACAAGTTGGGGGAAATCCAACTTCCAAAAGAATGAGTTTAATGACTGTAAATTGCACCACCTATGCAAGTCACTTGCACTGTTTAGAACACACAGCAGCAATAACTCAAACAAGTACTTTAAATTCATCACTAAACCACATGAGGGTTTTGTCAGCCTTATCTCTAGCATGTTCTGTCTCAAAATTACAAATGATATATGACCTTATTGAAGAAACATAAATCTCTCATTCTCTCTGTTGAGATTCTATTTGACTTCAGAACATCTTGATAAAATTCTTCAGTGTGTTGCACAACACACTGGACTTTAGTCTTTTGAGAAAAAGGTCTACCACCTAATCATGTCGGCAGTCTTCATGATGTTCATCTACTCCTTGTTTCTCCCTTTTTCTTCATTTTGGTCATTTCAGAGAATATTGTCTGAATTCTTCCTGCTTAAAGTTTTTTGAAATTAAGCTGAAACCTTCTCCCCATTCTTGAACATGCTTTTTATATTTTGATTTAAAAATTCATTCCTCTAATGATAAACAACACTTTTTTATTGTTTGTTATTTTATTTATTATTTTGCTTTCTTTTTTATTTTCTCAGAATTTTCCCTTCCATGAAGCTATAACCTCAGATTTTTGCCTTTTTAATAATTCCCACTAAAATATGTAAAATTATGATTTTGAAGCAATGTGTGTTATATAAATTTCTGTTTCTTGGATTTTAAAAGCGATAACATCCTTCCAAGAAACAAGTGATTCACAATCTCTTTAAGATCACCAAAAATGAAACAGCTCAGAAATTACATTCAGATTATCATCTCATCTACTGGATCTAAGGTTTTAAACCAAAACATAAGCTAAAGTTTCAAAATTCAGCTTTGAGAGAAGTAATAATCAATATACAGACTTTATGTATTCCTAATCTGAATATCCTTTGTGGCTGTGAGATTTCATGCCTTGTGGTTCTTCTCAGGACTTAAAAAGCACCTCTTGGGTGCCTCTTTCTCAGAATATTCTGTAGTCTACATCATATAAAACATATTTATACATTAGAAATTAAGACTACAACAGCCTCATACAAATCTCATCAAATGATTCTGGAATGGAAATAACAAAACTGGGTTGGGTTTAATATATTTACCTGTGTGCATGCACATACACACATATATGCCTGTGTTTGTATATAACAGATATTTATACATCTATACATCATTATACAGCTAGGAGTTACCTAGGATCCCTTTCCTCTCACTGAAGAAAAGCAGATATTTCTTGGCTGAGATTTATCATCTCATCCTAACCTGAGCAATGCTTGCAGCCAAAGAAACGCTTTTAGAGATTATCTCAGAAGTAGAGGTAGAGCTTCCCACAATCACACAACCATATGAGCAGCAAAATACAAGACAATCATAACCACTAACATAAAGATAACGATACGCATTATGTACAGAGCACAGCAAAGTGAAAATGAACTCGAAAGATACCAGAGGATGCATACAAATGGTTGCAACAACCCAGAAAGAGAAGAGATAATTGGATGGATCATCATTAGCTACAGACACACTGGATACAGACTTATTCCTCTGAAATCGTTACTACAAAGTATCAAGGCACTTATGTGACATAAAATTACGCAAATAACTTCAAGTAGTGCCGTGTGAATCCCAAGGGATGTCAGTGACCTGAGGCGGACTCCAGCTACTGCCACGGCTTTGATTGAATGAACTTTAATGTGACCCTCTGATGGCGATCCTGCCGGTGCATAACAATGAGATGTGCACAAAGACAACCATTTCTCTGGCATTGTCTTGGACAGTGGCTGACCAGATATGCTGGCCATAAAACAAACCCCCAAACTACAGATTTTTAAAGTCATTGTCTTCTGGATTCAAAGTCTAAGTTACCAATCAGTAATACAGTTAATTGATGTTATTTTGACAGTGGCAAAGCTTATGTGTCAGACTTAGTGAAAGTGAACTTTTATATCCCCAGGAGAGGAACAGGAAAATACTCTCTTGTATAAGAACTCCAAGAAGCAGTTCATATACTAAAACTTTGAGCTCTCTGATTTTGTAGAGTAGGTTCTCTACAACTGATTATAAAATACATGTAGACAAGTCATCTTTAGGTATCTGTTGATCAAAACAATGAAAAACTCCCTGAGTGTTTATTTACAAAAGCATAATTGTCCTATCAAACCTTCCTGAGATCTTTCTGTTAAACAGATTAAAAATAACCAAAACAACCTTCATCTTAAGCTTAAACATTAAACCCCATATATTAAACACACGGGGTATTTCATGCTCTGTATCGGGTTCTCTTTAGGTACACCTCAGTTGTCAAGAAGTGTCTCCCTTCACTGTGCTTAAGCTGTAGACCCTGATCAGCTCACAGAAGAACACCTTTACTCCTGGGCTCTTCTCAGGAACTGTTCCCTTGGCAAGCAAGGCTGTGTACAGAACAGAGGATCACTCAAATCCACGTCTGCATGTTTGCTGTGCTCAGCTAGACAATTACTAAGTAGTGCAATGCAAGGGGTAGTGAGGTGCAGTTTGAGTGTGAGAACTCCAGCATGGCTAAAATGAGAAAAAAGAAACCTACAGAAGGTCAGCAAGCCATGCTAGTGCAACTCAAACACAACTTGCTGCTACATCTCTATGATCTTCTTGACAGGATGCAGTGGAAGAAAGGAAAAGAAGTACAGGAATGGTCTTTAGAGAACAGATGAAAACATCATGAAGAGATCCTGGATTGGTGCTTCCCCTGATGAATAAAAGAGGCAGCTGTTCAATTTTCTATTAACAAGAACTTACACTCATTTTTAAACCATAGGTAACAGAAAGAAATTTTTCAACATCCAGTTATGACTCAGTATTTTCCACTCAAAAAGCCACCAGTCAGTCCTTTGTTCCTGCCACACAAAGGCCATACAGAAACTTTTCAACAGGTGTTAACACTCATCCCCCACTTCAGTTATCTGTTTAAAGTTTGTATGACTGGATTATAACTGACACTTCACTCTTGAAGACACATAAAGGAGTGGCCTAAGGTCAATTAAGCCACTAAGAGTAATTTTTTATGTCAGAATGAGACACTATTAATGCTGGAAGTTTCATTTTTCTTTTGCCAGAGAGATCAAAATCAGTGATATAGTAGACAGCTGATGCTGTGAAGAATTCACCCACAGAAATATCCAGGATGGAAGTCATTGAATCAAGAAGAGGCATAAACTGCAGTTGAATACAGTGCTGCAATCAGTTATTTCCGCCTGGATCTATGCATGGCAAAGAATCAGTCCTTTTTGCTTGTTCAGAAAAAGGATGCCTCTACATCTACAGGTAGAGGACTCCTCATAAATGGATACATTTTTTTCCCAAAAGTTTAGCCTTAAGTCCACAAATGAAAAAAGTGAAAATATGAGTTGTGAGCAGCAAGCTTCAGGCAGAGTTTGTTTCCTAGAGTGCACACAGAGCACACCACTCCCAACATTTCCAGGTACATAAAGGGAAAATGCTTAACAACTACAGTCTATACAGAAATGCTACAGAAATGGCCAGGGTATAATTTTAGTGGATAAAACCATCTAACGATCATAATATGAGGCAATTAACTGGTAATCTGGAATGCTAAAAGGGGACTCCAAGCTATTACGATGAAAACATACTACAGAAATTTTCTAAAAAGTGCTGCTTATCAGTGGTAGTTCTGCAAGTGGCTGTACTTTGAGATGGCTTGGCTTCTTTCCTGGATCACTTCAACATTTTTTAAGGTAACTACAAAAATAATAAAATTCTCCACTGGTCTCCAGCAACTGTTGCATTTTTTTCCTGTGATAAAATATTAAGTAGGGAATGACAAACTTGCTTAGAAAATAACAGTGTTCCCTTGCCCAGCCCCTCAAAAGCAAACAAAACTATGCCTCATCCAAGAAAGTATTAAAAGAGGGTTTGTTGTTTTTTTTTCTTTTAATGCATAACCCCTTCCCATATTTTTTTTTTTAAATAGCATGGCCAATATGTTTATTGCTATGCTTCTCGCACAGGCCTAAGTGCAAAATCTTACAGAAAAGCTGCCTACTGTAAAATGCTAAACTCTGTTTTCAACCTTGAGTATATTGAACAAAGATTTTCCAATGCAAACACATCAAAGACACATGTTTTCTTCATATACTTTATAAAAAGACATCTTTTACAACAAAAACTAATGGTAACTCATACTGTCAAAATTTTTCACAATACTGAAGTGAGGGGCAGAAAGACAAGGTATCTCTTCTTTCTAATTGTGTGTGTCTGGTACTGTCTAGAACAAGGGTCAGCAGCCTGCAGCACATGCACAGAGATTCAGCATTTAGCACACAGCACAGCACAAAGGTTGAGTGGGGTCAGGAACCAGGAGCAGGTGGAATCTTAGAAAGGCAGCAGCTCCCAGGTTTTAACTCCAGGTATCCAGCAGCTGCTCCAGTGATCAGCTAATAAGCAGTGTCTTGACCTTTTGAAGATTTGTTCATACCACAGGATTCCATCCTCTGGATTTGCCACGGTAATCTGCCACTACAGTGCTGAGTTCCCAACACATGTTGCAGCCACTGAACTGTAGCATTTTCCCTGGTTTTGTATTCCTGCTCTGGCAAAGCAGAGTTAACAGCTGGGATATCTCTTCCTTTAATTATTCTTGAGCTGGAACGTGCTTTAAGTTCCTTTAAACATCTACAAGCAAACCAGCTCATTCTAACAAGTACTGATAAATAGTAAATATAACATGCCTTTTGAAGGAACCCCAGTATTTCCATACACATGCCAAGAAATCACTGTATACATCAAATGCTGAACTGTGCAGATCCATTACTCTGGCATTTATCCTGCATTCTTATGTAAAAATCCCTACAACTATACATATTTAAACAGTTCAATTACCTCCTTTTTTTTTTTTCCTAAGTTCCTGAAACCAGAACTAGTAAAAAAAGAGGTTAGTCCAGGATAAAGGAACATCAGAAAACAATTAAAACTCCCTCAATTTTGAAATCAGAAATATTTACTTTACTTGCATAAAGAAGGTAAGATAAAAACATAGTTAAGCGTTACCAATATTTCTGCTAGTGCTTTTAGAATAATGCTGAACTCAGGGTAAAATGAATCCATCAGTCACTTTTCTGAGAAGCTACTGGGATTAAAGTTTCCTCTCTATTTTTTAAATACTTGGGAGATACTCAAATGCAATAAGAATGAGTTTAAGCTGGATGGGAAAAAAGATGCTTTCTTTGCACACAGTAAAATATTGGTAATAGGCAATTAAAAAAAAAAAAAGACAACTCTTGTATGATTTGAAAATCAGCCAAAATACTCTATTAAAAATGAAAACCAAGAGAACCTTTACTGACGCATGTAAAGGCAATTCATCTGTACAGTGTAATGCTGGTAGACAAAATGTTACTATTTTCAAACCCAGCAATAAAGAAAGTAATTGCTCTTTGATATCAGCCTGCACGTTGTGGTGGATGGCTCTGATTCAGTTCAAGCAAATAATTTACGCCCAGCAATGCAGTGTCCTAGAAATATAAAGTGTATAAACCATTACAGTACTAACATTTTCTACCAAAAAGTATGAAAATGGAATGTGTACATCGCTTGCTCTGTACATTATGGTAAATACCATAAAACTCTAAAATTAGACATTCTAAATTATATTCAAAATTAAGGCAGTGTAGTGGGTTCAGCACAAAACCAGCACAGACAGTAATATTCTATGATCCAAAAATATCAGATAAAAAAATTAAATAACAAGTAAGAAAATTATTTACTGACAGTCGGTGGTTTGTTTTCTACATACCACTCCAGGTTCAAACCCCAATGTTTCAAGAAGTTTCAGTTCATCAAGAAACTTACACATCATGAATTTTTTATGGTCATTGTTTATAACTACTATTTTTTTTTTCAGCATAATTGTTACCTGAGGTATGTACAATTTCAGCCAACCAAATATTAGCAACATCAACCATGCCATGAAACTCTCACCATTTGCTGACCCAACTCTTTCTTTCAACCTTTTAAACTTGAACTGTGGCAGCTGAAGAGCAAATGCAGGTCAGCTGCTGTTGTGGCTGCTACATCATGATAAGTTCCAGCTGAGGTGAACTGCTGAATGATTCTTAAATGGTGTCAACTGGAGTTGTCAGGAGATCATAAGCCAGAGCCCCAAGCAATTTGATTAGAATCAGAGAGTAACTGGATTAGCAGAACTACTGAATTAGTGTTTGATGAGCTGCACAATTCATGTGAATCTTCACAGCACTGTTGGCTCTCAGACCGGCAGCAGGAATTACCATCCACCCTTTTATATGCCAGGCAACTCAAACCTCATTTTATACAAACAAGATATTTGTGCAAAGGTTTGCATTGAAACTGGTAAAAAAAAAAAAAAAAATCAAAATAAACTGTGCTCTATTCTAGCAATTCAATAACAATACTTGCCAACTCCTAATTCTTTTTTTCTTCTTCCATTTTAATCAACAGGCAAAGTTGGGAGATAGTCTCTCCCAGAGGCAAGGTGCAATCAGGCAGCTGGTGGTGGTACCTTGTCTCTGGGGAAGGTGAAAAACTTACAGAGCCCAGCACACAAGAAATGCCTGGTTCAGTGAGAGAAGGGCAGGAACTGCACATTCAGCAATGCCTTGGCTCTCTGGGAGCCTGTTTGCCACCTCTGTTGTCATACATCAGTCTGTAACACTGAAAAATATCATGTACTGAAGGCAGGCAAACTGTTCTCCTCAAGTGGATTCAGGGAGCAGGTCCATTGAGATAAGCTATGTCTAGTACTTTTTAACCATCAAATATTGGCAGGATGCTTCTGTCAGGGCAGTCCAACCCCCAGGCTTCTCTGATATTCTGCAAGATACTGGGGTGCCAATTCAAGTTTTAGTCATACTCCAGGAAAAGCTGAAAATTCCTTCCAATAATGGCTAGCTGGACTTCCTGTCAAGAATTATAGTGAATTAAATGAAAAAACCACAAGTTTTTGCTTTCATGGCAAACATAAAATAAACATTTAAAATTAATGTTTTTTTGAAGTGCCAAAAGGGTTTCTTTTGCTGTTCCTTTTTTGAAATGAAGTTGTCCATCTCTAAATTTCAGACAAAATGCATAGATTCCAAACTCACAGGCTTTACTGTAGGTTTTTATATTTGTAATGATCAAAATGCAACCTGAAACAAGACAGCTACAGTGAATCAACTCAGCTATGAAACAGGATTGCAGACAGAGCTTTATCTGCCTCCATCCCTAAAATTATTCCAATGGAGAAAGATGAAGTCAGTTATGTTACTATTTATATTAAAAGGAAACGATAAATATGAGTGCTTAGTAAATAGTAGGCAATAGAGAAAATACAGTAATTTGGAGTTATGTCTTCACTAATATCTAGTAATTCACAGGTGGCATGTTACATCTGTGTGCTGTATTTTATTTGACACGTTCACAATCCTTTTTAAGTCAGTCACAAATCCAAACACAGTTAGCAGACGGTATTTAATAAAGTCAGATTTATAAAACTATTACTGTGTGAAACAACATTTCACCTATTAATTTTTTTAATACAAAACCATTATATAGAGGTCTATAGAGGAAGAAAAACAATAAATAATGAAACTATGAGAAAATAATTGAGATGTTATCAAAGCTATAAATACATCAAACATTTCTGATGATATCAAAATGCACTCTACATGTTTTTCCTTCTTTTTTCTTCCTTCACAAAACCTCTCCTGATATCTGCAGTTGCTAATCATTTATTCTATAAATACAGCTCAGTTGACTAAGGCTGCAATGTGCTAAGATGCAGTAGCGTTTCAAATTCATACATGAAACAATTTGGAAGCTTCCCCCAGGCACTGGCGGCTGCGGCTCCCGCTGCTCCGCTACCCACAATCCCCCCATTTACCTGCTCGCCGGGCTGCCTCAGCCCCGGTCAGGAAGTGGTAAAGCTGATCCAGCTTATCAGGCTGCTCCTCCAGGGACTTCTCATGCCATATGGCTGACCCAGGCCCTGCAGCCTCCCTCAAGGCATTCCACTTCTGGATCAGAGTGAAGAGCTCAGAGAAGGACTTGTGATAACCCTGGCGCAGCATGTCTATGCAGATGTTCTTCTTGTATGAATTCCTGTAACTGGGAATAAGAAAGGGAGATTTTAAGCCTTTAAACCTGTATTCTGTTCTCCACCTTACCAAATAAGTGCAGATAACTGCAACAGCTTTCAGGAAGAGACCTCTGCAGTTCAGCAGCAGGGAGTGGGTATTATTTCCCCTGCTCAAAAAGAGATCTGCTAAAATCTGTTTGTGAATGCCATACCCTAGGGAAGCAAACACGGCAATAATAAATACCAATATATACATTGAAAACACGGTAAAAAATTACACTGGTATTCTTTAGCTGGTATTTGGTAAAAAAGGCTGACTGATGGGAACCCCTCCCCCCATGTTCACATTAGTTCATGAAAACACAATGAACCCTTAGTTTGCTTTAAGACAGTGCACAGGGAACACTCAGGCACGTGTCAAAACAACATATATGTTGCTATAGGTAACACTGTTATTATATGTTATATATATATTGCTTTATGTTATATGTATATGTTGTTACAGATATATACATTAAATAGTTTTGCTGTAGGACAGGATGGCTTGGTTTAAAAATGTCAAACGCTATGCCAGAAACATAATTGTTAGATACAATTTTCCTTCCATTTAGCATATAAATTCAGCTGGTTTAGTGATGCAAAAGTTTGGTAGTTTCTTCCTAATTTTACAATCAAATGATGCTATGATGAATTTTTATTGAAGTTAGCGCCTTCATAAACTCTGATAAGATGTACATATCAAAAAGTTGTGGAATCAAATATTCTCAAGTGGTAATACACCTTTGGGGGTATTATTTATGGAAATAATCAAAATATTTATTTTATATGGCATGAAACAATCATTGTGTCCTATTCTGGAGAAAACCATGAGTCTAATGGGACAGCAACACAAAAGTACAGATGGAAAGGCTTGCAGGGATGGTTGTCCAGTCTGGGAAAACCAACCTTTACCCCTGTAAGATGGCAAGGACCCAGAAGCGTTACCTTTATCTTGTATATTCCATTAAGTTCCCAAACGGTTTTCAAGACTGTCCTTTAAGATTAAAATCCATTTAAATCAAATTATCTCAGCTTCAAAATAAATATAGAATTCTGAAAAATGAGATTTATAGTATAGATAATAAATTCAGGTGTAATAAATAATTGCCCAATGAGACTAATACTTATATCTTAAAAAGGCCTGCTGCAATTCTTTAACAATGTTCAAAAAATGGGAGTGATGCAAAAAATTTCTTAGCTAGACATCAGTTAAATGTACACCAATGTACGATGTAGGAAGCAAATAATCTGCATTATTTCATAATTGACATAATTAAAATGAAATCTCTTACTACACAGATGCACATTAATCCTCCTTGCAGAACCGAGAAGAAAAATATTAAATAATCCTGACACGATTTAGACCAGACAATATTGAATCTGTGTTTAACATATAAATAGATGTTTTTTGAGAAAGAAAATCACACATTGCCCACACAGATTCGATTCGATTCTATTCTATTCTATTCTATTCTATTCTATTCTATTCTATTCTATTCTATTCTATTCTATTCTATTCTATTCCATTCCATTCCATTCCATTCCATTCCATTCCATTCCATTCCATTCCAATTTTCAACATTTATCTTATAAAAGTATATGAGAAGTATGTTTAAACATTTAAATTTTAATTTGCTAGAGTATGCTATATTTGACATATACCAAATGTACAGTATATAGCCTCAAAATACTGTAAAGATAGTATGCTATTACCATGCAATGTGTTCTCTATTTTTTTATATGGAATACCTTTTTCATTCCTGTTTGAAAATTCTATGTAATAAAGAAAAAAAACAACACAACTCTGAAGAGCACAGGTAAAAAATTCCTCCCAACTTCCAAAGGCCGGGGACTGAATCCTACTGTAATATAACTCAGAGAAGTGGAATAACACTCTGCATAGCAGGCAGACATATGCCTGTTTATTTGTAATGGTAAACAAGAAAGTGGTGATAAAAGATCTCAGGAGTCACTACCCAAAATATCCTTCAGGTAATTTTTAACATACACTGCACACTTACTGAGCACAGAACCGATATTCATACAAATAAAAAAACTGTGTGCATGTAACATTTTATTTTCTATAGACAGGTATATTTTATTTCAAGCCAAAGCACATTTTCCCCATAAGAAAGCATTATTAGCAAGCCAGTGGAGGAAAACAAAGCATATAGTAAAACATGTAATTTTTAAAAAACAGTGTCAAGAGTGTTTTAATAAATCCCATCCCAATTAATTAATAAATTAAAATACTGCTGAGGTAATACACTGTGCAGAGCACATTTTTTCTGAGGCAAAGAGGACTGACTGTGGCACACAAGCAATGAAGCTATCTACTGTAAAATCCTTCAATTTAGTATAAAAATAAATGTAATTTCAGTTACAATGCACAAAGCACACAATAGTACTACTATTTTTTCCTCAAGTTTCTGTAATATATAAGCCATGAGTGACTTATACAAATATGTGTGACTTTGACACACACAAAAAATAAAATTGGGCAAGAGATTAATGATGTTATGGGGATAAATGGTATTTGTATCACCTAAAAGAGCCTGACGCTGCAATGAAATCTAAAATAGTTACAGTTATCAAAGTGTTTCCAGATGAAAATTCCAGGGTCCTTTTTTAACCCAACAAACACTTCTTTTGAACAGAGGCGTGGTGTAGGTGAGAGCAGTAAACTTCTCATTATACCTTGAAATAAACTATAAATCCTCAATCTCCAAACACTTACCATCCTGCTTTTTCTGTCATGCAGCATGTAAAATCTGAGGCTGAGCAGAACAACTCATGTTTTAGATAACTAAAGATTACTTAATTTCTAATATCAATATCAAATAAGATACATAAGATTCCTTCCAACTCATGATATTCTGTGATTCTGTGATTTATTTTACAAAATCCCACTGTTAGCATTAGTGTAGTATGTTTCTACATTAATACCTTACACTAAACACTTTTGAACCTTGCTACCTGATATATTACGATTTATTGTTAAACAAGCGACTTTGTTTTCTTGCATTCGTCCGCGCCGACTTGAGGTTTCCTTTGAACAATTATGTTACTTCCAGGAACGAAACGAGGGAAGACTGAGCGCCCTTTGCTTTGCTTGGAGCGGAGCCGTTCCCGGGGTTTAATGGTCTCTGGGGGCATCTACTGGAAATGTGGGAAACTGCAGGCAGGATGAGCGGATCCCGGCGCAGAACAAAGGGATTGTCCCGGCACAGGGCACAGGGCCACCGAGGCGCCCCTGCGAGCCGTGGAACGTGTCGGAGCAGAGCGAGCAGACAGCTCTGGAAGGTCTCATTTTAAAACTGAATGTGATGTGACTGCAAACCTAAAGGCCTCTCTCCCCTAGGGCGATCGCGCCAAAGAAAAAGGTTTCAGACGCATTTTTTTAAAAGTAAACTATTTTAAAATGAAATTTGGGGCTATGTATTTATGTATTTATGGTTAAAACAAAGTTACCAATTATTCTGATTTTAATTTAAAGCAGAATTGGTTTGGGTTTTTTCATCCACGAAACTCAACAGATGAGAACCTCAGCACTCACCACAAAGCCAGCTGATGCTAAGAATCCCCCGATCCTCTGCCTGTGTACTCATTTCAGCTATTGCTGCTACCCCGTGATGTTGCTTTATGTTTATTTACACAGGCTGGGCAGGGAGCTGAAGGTGGATCTGGTCCTACACCAGCAGTTACTGCGATGCACTGTTCCATCAGAAAGTGCTGAAAAATTCGGTGAGCTTCTGAGAGTCTCTGATATGATGGGGGTTGCATGTCACAAGAGTTTTCAGCACCAAATAAATAAAATAAATAACCAAAAGTGAAAGGTGCCATTTTAGTGGCACCTTGGTACAGGTGACAATTTTGTGCCATATAATATCACACAGGTGGAAGGAGCTACTTTTTGAACATGGATCTGTGAACTCACAAAGACACTGCTGTTGTTAACACTGTGCTTAATTTAAGTGTACCCAGATATAGCTACAGACATTTTAATTTTTTCCAAAGCTATACAGCTACTTAAGTAATTTTCTTATATGAATTTCTTTTTGCATTATCATTGCTATTACAAAACAATCTAGAGTCATGCTGAGAAATCAGGGCAACCTGATTCTAATCTGCCTTTACCAGTGCAAGAATAATAAATAGTAAATGTTCAGTGAGATTAATGAAATTACATTGTTGTTCCAGTCTCATGGACTTTCCTATACTATGGCATTGCACTTTTACAAGACCCTTAAGCAATGATGGGAGATCAGCACAGCACCATGCAACATTCCCTTCAACTTAAAATCCTCCACAGTAAGACTATTTACATTCTACCCTTTACACTGAAAGAGAAGACAGAAAACGGAGATTAAGAGGCCAAGAGGCAGGAAGTGGCGTTAGAAATAATCAAAATAGTCAGTATAACATAACAGAATCTTAATTCTCCATGCTTCCTGTCTGATGTGGTCAATTACAGGCATGCAAAATAAGTCCAGAAGACAACTATTTTCAGATGGCAGATACATATATATATATATATATACAAAAAGATACATAAATATAATATTAGGTTTCATATATTTAGATTTTGTAAGGCTTAATTAGTACTTCCAGCTAATTCCCGATTGCTGATTGCAATCCAAGTAGTTGTACTCTACTGTAGCAATCCCATTTTGTAAAGTACAAAATGGCATGGATTAAACAACTATAGTATATAAAATATTAAAATGTACTCCCAGTGTAAAATAATTACTCTACCAATTATTATAATGTTTAAAAACTGTATTCAAATAGGTTTCGTTCACTTGGGATTTCCTTCTGCAGTTGGCAAGCCAATGACTGATATAAAATGCCTTAGATAAGCATCACAAAATTATGAAAAAATAATAAAGATATTTTTGCTTAAGTTTATTTAAACAAATTTATTTTACTTCCCCATTTCCTGTCTATGATTCTACAAGAAAATTCAAATTACATTAAGTATGTGAATACT